TTGATTACTATAGTTTCATAGTAACTCTTCCTATCCAGTAAGTCAAACCCCCAAATATCCTATCATTTTTCAAATTAAAAACAAAATGAATTTTTAGTAAAAAGAAAAGCTGAGGAGGAAATTCATCATCAGCTTAAAAATACACCAAAGAGTATGTTTTAGGTGAAAATGAAATGATCCAAGACAACCAAAATAGCTCAGCTAAGAACATGTTAGACTAAAGAAAAGGATCCAAAGCAGTAACTCTGAGAGTTAGGAAGAAAATGGTGGATACACAGAGACTTCTAAGTATCAACTCAGGATGCTGGAGGAAGCCTGTCACTGGAGACCGATTTGAGGGTTTACAGCCTCACCCTGCTTCCAGTTCTCTCACCTCTTTATGTTTGCAGTTGAAAATGTGATCTCTCAGCTTCCTAATCTGGCCACCAGCTGCCATGCCTTCCCCGAGATTATGGACCCTCCCTCTGAGATGTAAGCCAAAATAAACTACCCAAAATAAACTCTTGTATAATTGCTTTTGGTTATGGTGTTTTATCACAACAGAAAACTAACTAATATACCCCATGACTCCCAATATGCCACCTCCTTAGTTTATGTCTTTTTTTTTTTTTTGATAACTCACTAAGTCTGGTTAGCGCTGCTCCTATGTACATGGATGTGGCTGTCCACTGGAGCATGGGAAACCTACTCGTGGCCACATTCTCAAGAAAGAACGATTCTCCCTCCCCTAGCAACTATGCATCGCCAATAGCTCCTCAGTAAGAGATGGGCCTGGAGATCATCTACCCAATCTATGCCAGAATTTTGGGCTACTTTGAGATTTGTAGGTCTTCTGCAGGTAACCATAGCTGTTGTGAGTTCATGATTGTGATGGCCATGTCATGTCCAGAAGACAGCATCTCACAGCTCTCTTCCCCATCCTTCAGCTCTTATATTCTTTCTGCCTCCTCTTTTGCAATGTTCCCTGAGCCTTAGTGGTGGGGTTAAGCACCAAGTCTCTTATCCTCAGCACTTTGACCAGTTACACATCTCTCCATTGACTGCTGTCCACTACGCAAAGAAGCTTCACTGACCAACGTCAAAAGCAGTCCAGGTCTGTGGGTATAAGCATAAATATTTAGAAGGCAATTTGACAGTTTGACCATTTATCAGAGTATCAGTAGCAGGCTCTACCCAGGGCCTATGACCGCCCCAGCTATGGGGTTTTGACCAGGATTACAGCAGCAGGCATGAAATTCCCTTCTATGCAGCAGACCTCAAATCCAATGAGAGAGCACTTAGTTACTCCATAATAGTCATGCCACTATTGCACCAGTAGACATACCTTGCCTGGCAGGTGGGTAATACAGCACTTAGGGTCCAGCACTGAGTAAGACCCTTGATGTCTTTTCTCTCACAGGAGCCTGCACACCCACTGTCTAAGCACTACAAAAGCTAGCCAGCAGGGAAGAAGTTCCCCAGTCCCTTTAAGATAGATTTCTCTATGTCCTGCCGCCAAAGTGTGCGATGCCTCAGCAAAAGACTCTTGCCATATAGCTAGGGTGGGCAATCAAGAACAGTAGCCTATGTTGTTGTGAAGACCTCTGAGGCCTCCCTGGCCAATAACTCATAGAGAGGTATCCTATGCCTTGTACTGCAATCTTCACCTAGTAACCCAATGTCTTCTCAGAGTGACATTCTCCACCCAGGCAGGGCAGTTCTGGTCAAACTCTTTTTTTAAGTTGTACTTTGAAATTAGCTTGCTAGCTACTGGGTTTCCATAAGGATTTTTTATCGATCCTTAGTTTTGGTTAACCCTCTCACTATTCCCTCCTCTTCCCCATCCCCCTGCCCCAATTCCCACTTAATTCTTTAAGCCTTGGTATTCTTCCCTCATTTCATTTCACATGTGTGAATCCTTCCATTTATAAATTTTAAATTGGCTTGTGAGAAGGTAAGCTTCCATATGACTCATCATACCTGGTGCCTTAGGGTTTGCCCTTCCCTCTACTCCTTGATCTCTCTCATACTCCCATGCTTCTCCCTGCTTAAGCCTTTCAGTTCCTAGTGTTCCACTTCACTTCTTTTGTTTTACCTATAACATATTATTCCCTCTCCCTTAAATGCCCTTCCAAAGGCCCCTTTTAAGTTTCTTGGCTTAAATTTCTTGTGCTCCAAGTTAGACACACAAGACCAAAGATTTGAAGCTAAGATCTGCATATAAGAGAGATATAACAGTGTTTGTCTTTCTGGATCTGGGTTACCTCACTCAGTATAATTTTTTCCAGTTCCATCCATTTACTTGCAAATTTCATGATTTCATTTTTCTTTACAACTGAGTAATATTCCATTATGTATATATACCATATTTTTCTTATCCATTCATCTGTTGGTTGACATCTATGATGATTCCATTTCCTAGCTTTTGTGAATAGAGAAGCAATGAACACGGAGAAGCAAGTATATCTATTGTAGGGTATAAAGTCTGTTGGGTATATGCCCAGGAGTGGTATAGCCAGGTCATATAGCACTTCTGTTTCTAGCTTTTTGAGAAAACTCCAGACTGATTTCCGAAGTGGCTGCAGTGATTTACACTCCCATCAACAGTGTATTGACCCATTTCTTCATGCTAGTTTATCTGCTTGTAACTGTTACATCCATGCAATTGTTAGTTGTTAGTGTACCTGAGTGCGCACCTAGAAATGTTATTATTGCTCAGGTTATTGTGCAAAGTGTCCTATGAAATCTGTAGTATTTAGATGTTTCTCAAAGAAGTCCTCCTTTAAAAGGCACATAAGTGTCTTTGAAGAATTGTTAAAATCACTTTTTCTAGAATTGTGCTATTGGGATTTTAGACAAATTTTAGGGATTTTCAATTTTTGGCACATATATAGATGCAGCCATGGGGTGTGGTTTCTCTGTCCTATAGACACTCTCTTTTGCCTACATTTTCACTTCTGGCCTCATATGCAGAGAACAGAGTGCTTCTTGCAAGTAAAACCTTTTGAGTTGACTCAGACACACAGATCAAGCAAACCCACTCATTTCTCACTTCGTGTTTTTGTTTGTTTATGTTTTAGTTAAGATTCTTCTTACTCCTTCAAAGAATTTGTTTTACTCCTTGGAGCTTTCTCATATTAGAGACTGAATAGCATATATCACTCGGGTAGATGCTGTAGAATTTTATAATGTCCCCTGCTTACCACAAAACCCACTTTCAAACTTAAAAATTCAAATTGCTTTACTCTCAGGATATTGTAAAATAATAATGTGAACACTTCTTGGACTCATGAAGGGAAGGCATTCTACTTGATCAAAGAAGAATCCTTGTGGTTGTTGGTAGGCTGGATATTGAGCCAAAATATGTAATTAAGTTCATGTTTATTAAATAGTTGCAATTACCCCCCCCCCCCACACACACACATACTACTTGAGTCATGTTCCATCATGGTTCAAGGTGGCAGGCAGAGCCGATGGAGAAACCCAACACGCTCAGGCAGGAGTGCCTGGGCTGCAGGCTTCTCTTTCCTCAGCTGTGTCTTCTGAGCTTTTAACTATAATCATAGTTTCATTTATTGTCTCCTATGTGGGGACACTCTGTAAATCTGTAAAACCCCCATTTTACAGATTTGGAGACTGAATTGAGAATTAAATAACCTTTGGGCCAGGCTGCTAATAAATAGCAGAAGTGAGATTTCTATAGGGCCTGTGTAACAGCACTGTTGTACTCTGCACTGTTCTAAGGATGTCTGGGAAGCCAAGAAAGCCGCAAAGCAAGAGCAAGGACCAGTAGATGAGCCAGCTACCAGGACAGGAGAAATGCAAGCCATTACTGAGCAAGTACTATGTTTTAGATACAACACTGGGCCCTTTCACAATAACTTGGTAAGGGAGATTTTTTTTTTTTTTAATCTGGTTACATGTGAAGAATCTGAGGCCCAGAGGAATAACCAAGGTCACATACTAAGCTGTGAAGCTACCGAGTTCAAAACTCACTGACTTAAGCTATGATGTATGCTGCCTGTTCTGGGTCCTTCCTTTTGAGTGGAGTGGAGAAATTTATGAGAAGGGACAAGGAAGTCATATTCACACAGGTGCTGGGAGTAGACAGGGGGAGTCTGAGATTAGAGTAGCGAACCAGGACCGAGGCTTTGCCTGGATGCCGGTTCAGCGGACGCAGTGCTAGGCAGGACGTAGCCACTCTGAGCACTGGTTCCTTCAGGTGTTAAAATATGGGGATCATTCAAGTCCTTTTCAGCCCTAAAGTTCTGTGTCTCTAGGTACCCCTCCCCTGTGGGTACTTAGAGAAGAACCACGGGTTTCTCTTAACCCAGGAGCACATGGTGATGCTTCTGGGCCCACCCAGGTTAGCTCCCGCCATGCGGCGAGTTGGTTGGCTTTGGTACCATGGACTAAAACAAGATGCAGAAGTAGCAAACTCCGAGCTCTCTCCCGGTCCTCAGAGCTCCCGATTGTTGGACGTCCTGAAGCTGTCCCTCAGCAGTGTTTCAAAAGCGAGCGTGGTGGGGGTGTGGCCGCGGCTTTCGGGGCTGGGTGGCCTGCGGGTGCTGGCGGCAGTGGCCGCTGGGCTTATCTGCAGCTGCTGCGCGGCCCGGCTGGCTGCTAGCCCGGGTGGGAGGCGGCCGAGGCGCGGCATCCGGGACTGCAAGGGCGCCGCGCTGGGCCCCTGGCGCTCGGAGACCCGGCACGCTGCTCCAGCGGCCCGGGGCCCTTGCCCCACCGCAGCCAGAGGGGCCGCAGGCGCGCCAGACACGTGTGCGGGGCGGGGACTAGGCCGCGGCGAGCAAAGTCCAGGTCTGCAGCCCGCCGGCTGATCTGGCACACGCGCGCGAGGTCCAGGTGAGCGAAGTGGCGGAGGGAGGCTGCAGCGCACCCGCTCCTGGAGCCTCGCATCCCCGCAGCCTTGCACCCGGTGCCGGGGGCTGCGAGGAGACAGGAGCTCCCCACCCCTACCCCCTGGGTCGGGTGCACTCGGACCTGAGGCTGTGGTTTCTCCCCAGGTTGAGATGGATCTGGAAGCAGCAAGGAACGGAGCAGCCCAGCGCTCCAGGACTGTGGAGGGCGACTTTGAACTAGGCAGCAGCAGGTATACATCGCCACAAGCACCGGCTTTTCCGTTATACCTGAGTCCTGGAAAGAAGTGGAGGAAATCGGTTGATACCTTCGGCCTTTGGGAGGCTTCTCTGGAAGCAGAAGTTCTAAGTGGCCTCAGGAAAGTCTCAGAGGCTCCTTTTGGAACAGGTTCAGAGAGAAGAGGCTATCTTCAAAAGCTCCTGTCCTTCGGGGCAGGGGTGACTGGATGAATATCGGTGTTGTATAACATTCTTTGTATTCTATAACTTAATTTAGAGATAACTTTCATTATACATCGTCTGACTATTCAAGCTGGTAGAGCACCAAACACCTGCCATTGAAGTTGGGCTTTTGAACTAGGGTAGCAAAGAAAAACCTCCTGCCATGCTCATTTCTCTTCCTCTTCTCGGTCCCTTCTCCCATCTGAAAGCTGGTTCCAAGTTTCTCTTCTCTGGTGTGTGCGTGTGTGTGTGTGTGTGTGTGTGTGTGTGTGTGTGTGTGTGTGTGTGTGTGTGTGTGTGTGTGACGGGGGAGCAGCCTCATTCTTCTCCGACCTCTGCTTCCAAATCAGTTTTTGGCCAAGTGCAAGTAGGGATACCCACAGCTTCCTCCGCCTGTGGGTCTTTCTCGAGCCTTCGCTCTGGCTCTGGGTTTGGTCCTCCTTCAGGCCCAGTGAACCACACATACAGGCTTTTGTCAGGGAGAATGGCCCAGTCAAGTGTGTGTCTGTTTCCCCTTTCATCGTGGGAATAGTGAATCATTTTTGTCTTCAGCCTCAAATAGTTTATGAGGCTATTACAGTCTCTGAGTTCATGCTAGGCCACCCGGAACTAATTGACATGTGTCATGGAGTTGTCACCCAGAGGGACAAATTTATCTGGTTCTATAGTTTGTCCTCAAGCTGCAAGGGGTCTGATTAGCCAACTGAAAATATGCCTATCTGATGCTTAAACTGAAGCATTATTTTAGTCTGTTAACTTGTTTGGACAGTGATATTGCCCTGTTTTTCTAAGAATCTTGGTATTTATTCACAGAAAATTTTATTTTGTCCATATAGAGTTAGAAGAACTGACGGATGATGTTACTTCTAAGAGAAAAATGTGGTTTTTGTCATCTGGCAATTTAGGCCGGGAATGACAGTGAATCTATTAATAGATGGCATTTTCATGAAGAAGGCTATTTATGTATTGCACTGGCTGAACATTTGATGAGTGTAAGTAGGAGCTCCCTGCAAAAGGTGTAGTAACACTCTGCAGCCCAGGGACATTCTCATTAAAAGCTCACAGCTTTCTGTTAGAAAGAAGGAGCTCAAAACAGAAAGATGGAATGTTAAGAATAAGTTAATACTGTCAGATTATTAAATTAAATTGAGAGTAATCTTTTATAATCAGACAAAGAATTACATTCAAGGATGGTTAACCATACTTCTGTAATATGGAGCAAATTGAGGGTGATGAATGTGCTTCTTCCAAACATGCCTGTGATACATTCTTCTGAACATACTTAGTGGCCCATGTTCGTCTGTTAAAATGCAATGAGTGCTAAGAAAAATTAACAAAGATTGAAAAAAATGAGGCGAACATAGCAGAAATATTGAGCAGTTTTATCAGGTGGTTAGGACAGGTCTTATTTGGAAGGTAATATTTGAGCAGAGAGTGGAAGGAAATGAGAAGAGAGCTCATTGGGTATTTGGAGAGTCTTCCTGGCAAGAGTACCTGATAGTGCAAAGACCCTGAGATGGGGGTGTGTTTGGTGTATGCACAGAACAACAGTAAGGCCAGGTTTGCCTCTCAGAGCAAAGTAAGGAATGCTTCGAGTGGATGATGAGGTCAGAAAGGTAACAGAACATGTGGACCTGAGCAGCTGGTGTAAGGATTTTTACTTCATTCTGAGAAAAAGTGGAGTCATTGTCATTGCCTGAGTAGAGAAGTAACTTGAGGTTTCAAAGGATTGTGTTGTAAGTCAAAGATAGATCAAAGCAGGTATAAATGGAAGTTGGGAGATTAGACAGAGGGAACATAGGAAGAAAAGTGGGGAGAGGAGTAGATGTATCTTGGATGTACAGTAAGCAAGATTTCTTGATAACACTCCTCACAATCATTCAGAAGAGTAGTCTTTCTTAATTTTGGGTCAACTTGTACTTTTTTATAAAAATAAACTTTAAATGATTTATTAAACATTGTTAGTGTAGTCATCTTCTATCTGTGCATAAGTTCTGTAAGGCAGGTGACCCACCATAGTTATCTGTTATGTCCTTGTAGTACCTTGGACAGTTACCTTTGTACTTGATGGCTACATTGGAGAATTTGTTAAACTAGTTAATTTTGACAATAGTAGACCTAACTCATATTTGAAATGTTACAATTCAACATCATAACTATCCAAATATATGTTCAGTATATTGTTTCTTACAGTTTTAAATTGAAGCAATTGTATTTTTACAGCAACCAAGACAGGGAAAAAATGAAGAAAGTGAATTTAATTGGACCAATGACACTGGTAAGCTGTGAAATATTAAATGGGAATAATCCTACCTTCCATTCAGATTTGGAGAGCTGAGTCAAGTACTTTGACTCAACTTAAAGTGCAAGTACTTTAAGTCTGTTTTATGCAGCAATGGATTGCCCACACTGTACCAGTTGACTTACTATAAACAATGACCCAAGATCCCAAGATTGAAGGTAACAAAGGAGGGGTAGGCTGACTCACTGTTACCTAGGGAAGTAATACTATGAAGAAAAAAATGAAGCAAATTAAAGACACTATGGAAACTAACTAGTTTCAAGAAAATGTCTTTCTTTATAACAATCCCCCCCCCCACCAACCCAAAGCAGTAGTTTCAAACCAGAAGTCTATATTCACAATTGACTTACAAGGAAATTGGTTGAGCATGGGATAATGATTAAGGAGTATGATTCTGTTTTAGACTGTTTCCATTGCTTTTCTGAGGGTATAAGGCAAGCTGACATATTTTTGGGAAAAAAATCTAATCTGTTTTCATTTGCAAAGATGCCTCAGAGAGGCAGGCCATGAAAGTGTTTGCCTACTTTGGGTAAATGTGATGTGTTTCTAACTGACAGCTTTTGCCAGTAAAGAAATTAGAATTTAGTGCTTGTCTGTTGAAATTACCGACTTAGAAAGCAAACGGATGAAAAGGCACTAAAATGCCCGCACTTGATTGCACATTCTCACACCACTCCCAAGCCCCTGTTTACACTCTTTTCTCTTGTTGTTTGTTTAAAACATTGCTGTTTAAAAGTTTCAGTAAGAGTAAAACTTTTTTGTTTGTTTATTATTTGTGTGCCTACACTATGTGGGTTGATTTATTGCAGACAATGGCCCAAGATCCCAAGGTGGTGTTTGCATGATGTGTGTGAGTACAGGTGTGTGTATCCACAGTATATGGGTGGAGCTCAAAGGACAGCTTTAAGGGATTGGTTATCTCCTTCTACCTGCAAAGTTTAGAAATGAACTCAGGGTTGTCAGGCTTGAAGGGCAAGAGCCTTTCCCCACTGAGCCACCTCACCAGCTACCCTCTCCCCCAAATTTAATTCAGTGCTTCAGAGAATACATTGTGAAACAACATCTGATTTAATGCTAATTTAAAATCTGTCTCCTGAAGAAAATAGAAAAGTATATATTGTAAAGTGAAAGTATACTCATCTTGTTTGAATTTGATAGATTTAGTTTAGATTGAATCTAAGTTTAATCATTATCCTGCCTCTGAATAGATTTTTTTTGTCTGAAAAGAGTTCAGGACAAAACTGATTATAGTAGGATTAGAAATACCTTGTTTTGGCTGGGTGTGGTGGTGCACGCCTTTAATCCCAGCACTCGGGAGGCAGAGGCAGGCGGATCTCTGTGAGTTCAAGGCCAGCCTGGTCTACACAGTACACAGTCAGTTCCAGGACAGCTGGGGCTACAGGGAGACCCTGTCTCAAAAAGACCGAAAAAAAAAAAAAAAAAAAGAAAGAAATACCTTGTTTTGTTGAAAAATCACAACCAAATCTAGGTTTACTTGGTAAATTCACCTAACTTTAAATTTAACCTTAGAATTTTGAGTTTAATTCAATGAACATCGAAAACATTAAAACCTTCCTCGATGTCATATAATAGCCAATAAAAAATAACAATACAAGACCATGTGCCTTGAAAGAATGTCGAAAGGCCCAAATGCTCTAACTTTCTTCCCTAGAGGCCAATAAAAACAAACCCTGTGGTCACTGGTTCTTTTCTAGCAATTTCAGAAGCCACTCTCATTTGCTTTTGATTTTTGTCCTTCCCTTTGTTTTAATCCGAACTCTTCCTCACTCTGACCCTTCGTTTTCTTCAGTCCCCCTGCTTTCCCTGTGTGTTTGATGGTGGAATTTGCTCCACTGTCCTTGGACCCAGCTGAACTCCTGGAACTCACTGAAAACAGTTTGCACACATACTCACTCCCCACTGTGTGCTCCCAACCTCAGCCTCACTGGGTATTGACCCAGTGTGACTCAGCCTCAACCCTCAAAGATGCCACTTCACTATCCTGACTCATTCTGTGCTCTTTAGATAACTGTTTGTTGTCTCAGTTGATTCTCCCTCATGTTTCATGATTCTTCATGAACAAGACTTCCCTAAATCCCACAGATAGATACACTGAAAGCTAATTTAACTTTCTAAAGGGATTTAGTCCTCAGTAGGTCTCATAAAACTCACTAAACTCCTCAGTTAACTCAGAAGGTTTGTTTCTTCCTATTTTAAATTCTCCTGAAATATTCTGTGCATGCACTGTTTAGAAGGATAAGATTGTGCATGTATACATGTGTACATGTGTATATGCACATGCTCATATGTGTCTGTGTGAACTTAATGCCTGGCCCTAGCTCACCTTAATTCACCACACACAAGCTATAGGAGAGAAAACTTCATTTCTTAATGGATCCAAACCTTAAATTTTTTAAATTTTATTTTTTACTTTATGAACATGAGTGTTTTGCCCACATGTATGTAAGTGCACTCATGTGTACAATGCCTGCAGAGACCAGAAAAGGGCACCAGATCTTATTGGACCTACAGTTATGCACAGTTGTTAGCTTCCATATGGGTGCTGGGAACTGAACTCAGGTCCTCTCTAAGAGCAGCTTGTGTGCTTAAACACTGAGACATCTCTTCAGTCCCATGGAACAAAACCTTTATCTCTTTGATTGTATTGTGAATATTCACCCAAATTAGTTGTTAATTAAGTAGAATTAGGTTGATTTCTTCACAAATACATAGGTTCATGAAATTAATCTGATAATTATTTGGATTGCTATCTACACACTTTCTGTAATATATTTACATTTGCAACTGTGAAAATAGTACGTAGTACTGACTTGAAATAAAACCCCAAAATCATTCAGTTATGAAAAAAGAAATCCATTTAATGAACAAAATATTATTTCCTTTTCTCCCAGTTCCGATACTCCGACTGGCAGGATAGATTGTTTATGCTCCTGGGCACCATCATGGCCATAGCTCATGGATCAGGTCTTCCCCTCATGATGATCGTGTTTGGAGAAATGACCGATAAGTTTGTCAATAATGCTGGAGACTTTTCTTTGCCAGGTAATTACTTCTCTACCTTTTTTCAGTACATTGTATTTATCTAAGTGGATGAAAGTTTAGTAGTAACTGTTTAATCTACATTCTCTTTGTTTATTTATTGATTTCTATATCTAGGTGACGTGAATATTACAAAAGAAGTTGTGAAAATTTTACAAAAATTTTGAATTTTATAAAAAAAATTTTGGGGGTCTTTTTGGTTATTTCATCTTTTTTTTTTTTTTTCGGAGCTGAGGACTGAACCTAAGGCCTTGTGCTTGCTAGGCAAGTGCTCTACCACTGAGCTAAATCCCCAACCCCAAATTTTATAAAATTTAAATGTCAAAAAATAGATGCATCCTGCTTGACTTTTCATTTTTAAATATTTTATTTATTACTTTTATGTGTATGAATGTAATGATTGCATGTAGGTGGGTGCACCTGTGTCATGCAATGCCTGGGTTTTGGATCCCCTGGAATTGGAGTTATAGATGGTTGTTAGCTGCCATGTGGGTGCTGGGAATCAAACCCAGGTCCTCTGCAAGAGCAGTCAGTGTTCTTAATTGCTGAGCCATCTCTCCAGCCCCTGCTGCTTGACTTTTAATACAGTGTAAGGAGATATACAGGAATCTTTGCATCTAAGAGGAGGAGTCTCTCCATCTGAGGACACTGGGAATATGGTACCACCATCCAGGGTCCACCCATCAGTGATGACAGATGGGTTTCAGAACACATTAGGTATCAAGTTAGTGCTTTTTAGATGAGGTAATCTTGTAGGTTTGCTCCTGAATTTTTTTTTTCTCTTTTTCTCACCCTCGTCTAAAAAATATCCATTTCCATGTCTAATTTTTTTGGACCACGCAGATTAACTAGAACTGAATGTGATACTTTTCTAAATATTTTTACTCACTGAATTTATACTTACTTTTGAAAAGCCAGGAGAGTCGCATGGGTCTGTGCCACCCAAAAGAGGGGCTCCAGCAAGCCATTGGGGTAGGATTCAGTGGACACATTTGTCTTTATTTTTCCTAAATATAATCTGGAAAAGAGATTCCCATGCCTAAAGGCTCTGTTTCTCCAAGAGACTTTGAGTGCCCTAGGTTGGAGAAAACAGAGTGAAGCTTTGTTGCTGCACGGATGATTGAATTAAAAATAAAAATCTGATGAAGGAAAGTCAGTTTTCATTTCAAATGTAACAGAAAAATGTGTGCCATCATCTAGACAACATTCCATAAGCATTTTCAGATTTCACTGATTGAGAGCTATTTAGTTACCATTATAGGGCATAAGTGTAATTTTTAAAGAGAATATGATTGCTTAATTACTATAAGATATGTTTACATAGGCCGGGCGTGATGGCACACACCTTTAATCCCAGCACTTGGGAGGCAGAGGCAGGCAGATCTCTGTGAGTTCCAAGCCAGCCTGGTCTACATAGCAAGTTCCAGGTCAGCTGGGGCTACAGGGAGACCCTGTCTCAAAAAGACCAAAAAAAAAAAAAGATATGTTTACATAAATGTTAATAAATATAAATGCCTTTGAGAAATCCATTAATGGTATTCTTTGATTAGTTAGCATAAGCTCCTACAAAATAATTTATTATTGTCAAGTACTATTATTTCTGAAAAGAATATCTTTAAAATAAAAAAATAACAGTAGTGTTCTCTCAATCTTTATGATATGCTAGGTCTAACACTAAGCACTTTACATGTGTTTTTTTCACTTGCCGCTTATAAAAATAATTCTATACAGTTAGTGATACATGAAGAAACAGGGACATGGAAGAGATAGTTGTCCACAGTGTACTTCTTGTGTTAGCACCAAATTCCAACTCAGGTCTTTCTACCATCCCAACCACAGTCATGACTTAGTTTGCTTTCAATTGCTGTGATAAAAATACTGACCAAAACCAACTTGGGGAGGAAAGGGTTTATTTGGCTTACATCTCCCCCATCACAGTTCATCACTGAGGGAGCCCAAGGTAGGAACTCAGGGCAGGAACCTAGAGGATAGACCATGGAGGTAGGCTACTTACTGCCTTTTTTCCCCAGCCTGTGCTCAACCTGCTTTCATACAGGTCCACCTACCCAGGGATGGCACTGCCCACAGTGGGCTGGGCCCCTCCCACGTCCCTCACCAATCAAGAAAACGTCCCACAGGCATGACCACAGGCCAGTCCAATGGAGAAAATTCCTCAGTTGAGGACCCCTCTGCCCAGGTGTGTCAAATTGAGAACTAAAGCTATCTAGCACAGTGACCACATATATTTTCCAAATAAATAACTGTGCTTTATTTAAGTTAAAAAAATATGTTTGGTAAAGTTACAAATGGATTTCTGATGCTTTACTAGTGACCAAAAACTTTAATATAAACACTATAAAGATAAAATTGAAGTAGGACAAGAAAGCTTAAAAAGTCTTTAAGGTTGTCAGGCGTGGTAGCACACGCCTTCATTTCCAGTGCTCAGGAGGCAGAGGTAGGCGGAGCTCTGTGAGTTCATCGTCAGCATGGTCTATATAGTGAGTTCCAGGCCAACTGGGGCTATAGGGAGACCCTGTCTCAAAAAGACCAAAAAGAATCTTTAAGGAAGTGTGGGAAGTAGGGATTTTCTATTTGTTTTCCTATTTCATAGATCTAGTCTATATTAATTTTATATCTGCTACAGATTTATTTTATATCTGATACATATATCAGAGTTTTACCCATAATGGAATATATCGACCAAAAAATGATTTCTACTCTGGGCTTAAAAATCAGCAGATTAATGTGGCACATACAATGGAACATTATTCAGCCTTGAAAGGAAGGAAATTCTGATACATGAGACAATGCTATGGTACATGTTGGACATTATGCTAAGTAAAACAAATCAATAAAAGGACAGATACTATGAATTATCCAGTTAAATTTGTTCTTAAGAGCAAATTAGTAGGAACAGGAAGTAGAGTGGTACTTGCCAGGAGCTGGAGTATGGGGAGCTATTGTTTAATGGACACAGAGTTCCAATTCTGCAAGATGAAAAAATTCAGAAGACTGACCATGCAAAAATGTGAGAATTTTTAACTGTACACTTAAAATAATTTATGGTAAGCTTTATATTATCTGTATTTATTACAATGAAAAACTTAAAAATAACCAGATTAAAACAATACAACTCACTTATCACAGATGAATTTGGTTTTTGACCAAGTTTCTTAGTCTTGCTTTTGTTTTTTACTAGAATAATTCTACCATTTGCTAATGTGGAGCATTTTGCTTGCTTTCTGACTTGTTACTAATTATGCAATCCAATGACTTTGAAGTTGGACATGGCAGGCAGGTGCTTTGTGCTAAGGGCCAAATTCAAGGTCTCTCTGGGGGAACTGCATGATGAGCCAGATGACTGGAGTGATAAACTCAAGAGAGTCGACAGCTCTGTCTCCATATCCTTGAGCTTAGAAACACTGCAGGTTTTGACCCTCAGCTCTCTGAACTCATGTGGTCATTAGGCATATTTTCTGTCTTGGAGGATTTGGAATGGGAAGCGCTTTAAGTGTTATGAATTTTTACTATTCACTCCAGTAGTTTGTGAAAGTAATATTCTCATACCTCATTCTCTTTGGAGAAAAATGAAGTCTTTAAGGAATACTCTAAATTTAGAATGCTTATTGATATGTTTAGAGTTGTAGAAAAAGTTGTAGCAAAAGTCATCAGGGTTGGGAGGAGTAGGGTGTTTAACTGAAGTCCTAGCTCATCAAATAGAGATGATATTTGTTTAGATCTGTTCTTTAGAGTTGTTGGATTCTTGGACAACTAGACTTAATGGAAGCCAAGTGAGGATGAAATGTTGGAGGGAAAGGGTTTAAATGACAAGAGGCTCTGACAATGACTTACTGTGAACAGAGCCATCCTGTCAACAGACTAAAGCTTCTTCCTAACAGGGTTGCTCCCTCATGATGACTTAGTTGTGCAGAAACCATGAACAAAACATTTTTCATCCAAAACCTTAAGAACAGAGTCATAGAAAACAGTTCATCTGCAGAGTATCAAAGAATTCATTATCTTTTAGGACAGTTCTGTGTGACTGTAGTAATCTAGAAAATTCTGTATGAGAGATTGCTGTACCTTGCATGTCCTTGCATTGCTTTGTGGTGGAGGAGACAGAGCATGTTTAAGCACCAAGTTACGTTAACTGTCCATAGTACTCAAGTTGCTTGACAGCAGCTCCTTGTTTTGCTGCTAGATGACTTTATATAATAAAGGAATTCCTAGGCAGAATCAAGAAAATTATTTGATTTACTTTGAGAGTTCAGTGTGGCAATGGAGACTCTGCTTCCCCGTCTTTTCTTCATTGTCAAGTCCTTCATTCAACAGCTCTGTGACTCTGGACAAATTGTAGTTAACCTCTATAGTCCTTACTATTTTAAAGACGATCTTTGAATAATCATGGATTGGCTGATAGAACTTAATTTGGTCATCTATGTAAGGCATTTAGGACATAATAAATATCAATGAATTTGGGGGAAGTAGCTAAGACCTTGGAAATGAAACAGCCAGTCTAATTTTGTTTCTCCATCTGTGACATGGATGGATTATATGGGATCTGTCGAAAATGAAAAGGTAGATTCAAGAGTTTCTCATTTCCTTGTTATGGGAGGGGTCAGGTGGGCTGGTTGAATTTTTCATCCTGTCACATTAGAATCATTTGAGATACTGTTGGGGACTGGAAAGATGGCTCGGCAGTTAAGAGCACTGGCTGCTCTTATAGAGGACCTGGATTTGGTTCCCAGAAACCACATGGAGGTTAACAGCTGTCCATAATTCTAGTTCCAGAGGATCCAATGCCATTTTCTTATTTTTTTCTTTTTTTCTAATTCAAAGATTTATTTTTTTCATTTTAAATATTTATTATTTTTATTTTTTATTTAATAACCA